ACTTGGGGCTTCGGCTGGCCATCGACAAGACGGAGGCTGTGTTTTGTAAGGCCCAGTACGGCCCCGCTGACCTGAGGCTGCGCATCGGGGATCAGGCAGTCCAGATGTGTGCGACTCTCAAGTACTTGGGAGTCGTGCACGAAGCTAAGCGAACGTGGTACGGCGCGCACTATCATACCGCGGCCGACAAGGCCAGACGCGTCATGGTGGAGCTGCGCGTGCTGATGCCGAACATTGGCGGCCCCCGCGAGATCAGTAGACGTCTCCTGTTGGGTTAGGTTAGGTTAGGTGTTGGCTTCGGTTCAGTGCCTGGTCGCCATCGCCAGCGTAGGTGAGTATCGTACCATGTCCTGATGGCCAAAGAACGATTCGCGTCGTTCGAGGCTAGAAGGGAGAAGTGGTTGGAGGGAACACGTGACGGGGGTCCTCTTGGTTGGACCACCTAGYGGAGACAGTGCGGGCCGACGACTCTCTGTCACTGAGGGCTCGTTTGCTGGCAAAGTGGGCTCGGGCTAAGCGGGAGTCGGTGCCACCCGCGGACAGCGGACGTGAGTGGACCAGTATCCTGATCCCCCCGGACCGGCTTTGTCGGTGGGCTACCAGGATGCATAGGGAGATGTCCTTTCATCTCACTCAGGTGTTGACGGGGTTTGGTTTCTTCAACCAGTTCCTCCGGAAGATCAACCATGCACCGTCTGAAGGGAGTTCCCATTGCGGTCCACCCGACGCCTACGATGAGGAGCTCGACGACTCTCTGCACACACTTTTCGACAATTCGACCCGGGCGGACTGGTGTCCAGGATGCTGGAGAGTCAGGTCAACTGGACAGCGGTTGCCCACTTCGCGAGGGACGTGATGTCGGTCAAGGAGGAGGCCGAGCGGGACAGGCAGTTCCGGCAGGGTGTCACTCCGTCAAGGTTAGGTTAGCTTAGGTTACGGCTGGGACTGCGCCGTCGGTTGTCTGGTTTCCAGCCTAGGCTGCGAGGCCGAACCATTAATCCTGCGTCTTCTTTGTTTTTGTTGTTTCTTCCTTACAGGGCTCGTGGTTGGTTTATTGTTCTTTCCACGCCTTATTTTACTTTATTTTAATGTAATGTAAAAAACCCTGTAAGGGGTTGCGGTTGGGGGATTGTCCCTTTTGCACCCCGARTACGTCGTGTTGTTTTTTTTAAATTAACTATGGCGACTTTTTGCCCGTAGCATTGCTAAACGGCGTTCCCGGGTGTTGAGTGTATTGCCGACTTAACAGAAAAAAAAAGGTTATATATATATATGCTATTAATTGGATATTGAGAGAAATGTGTACATTGCCAAGTCAATGTGGTCCTGTTCGGGCAATGTGAACCACGATGTTTTTTTTTTACCAACTAATAATATTAGTTTAATTAAAACAATAATTGATTATATTCATATATCATATTAATATTACGAATATTTTGATTGAAAAAAAAAAAAAAATTAAAAACATTTCATTTAATTTTTGTTTTTATTATTACCTCTTTAATTGCACAAGATTTAGAAGCATGACACTTGGAATTACATATTCCGTCTGCTTTTCTACGCTTACCTTTATTTGTTTTGTAATCCTTTTCATTAAAAGCATATAATTTTAAATAATTACCTTTGGCAGTTATATTATAATTATTTTTTCCTCCTAATAATATGTCATAAAGTTATATTTTTTCATTAATTTTAAATTTGTGTTCTTCTCTAGCCTCAGTTATTTTAAATAATTAATTATTTCAAAATATTTAGATTTACTAATAAAAGTACTGTTATTTTTTTTTTTTAGTTACTATAATTTTGTTCAAATATTCATAAAATTTATATTCCATTTTTAAAACACGTACAAAGTATAATGAAGTATAATAGTGTTATATACAGTTTGCAAATTCGACTGGTTAGTTGAAAATCTCAATTATTTTTCATAATATATCGTTAACTTTGTTTTAATTCATTCAACATAATTAGTTGGTAAAAAAAAAACATCTTCGTTCAYATTGCTAGGGTAGGACCACATTGACCAGATAATGTACAGTATGTACACATTGCCCATAACATATACATTATATTTGGTGAGCAATCGTGTTGTGATTTTAACAGGTAAAAAGGGATCGAAACGCAATCGTGTTACAAGTAGTCCGGTCATAAAAGAAAAAAATGTGCAATTGTGTTACAGAAATAAAAATACACGACCTATWAAAGATTTACTGCGGCAGATAATTTTTACTGGATAATTAATTATTACGGTTAGTGATTGAAATGGTTGGCTGTTATAAAATAAAAATATTCACATATCTATGTGTTGGTACTTACCTATTAATTTAAAGAGAATAATGTATAATGTCTTATAACTTAAGAGTTAAAATTAATTATTCATAATCGTATATATTATAATATCTATTTTCAATAAAAATTGTTCTAGTTTTTAAAAAGAAACCCACTCTTAAATGCATAAGAATGATAACAACAGGTATAATACAGTTATATTACATATAATGTAACTATCTACAATAATTGTGCGCACAACCAACGTCCCTCCATAGCGATTACGGTACGAATCTACGCTTGAATGCGTTATTCAAATTACCTTTAATATCAGTAAAAGGGGAAATATAACTATTTATAATAAGACTGGTTCCTTAAACTGTTATGATACTTATTTATTGTAAAATTACATTTATTGACGCTAATGTGTAGCATACAATGAATATTGTAGTACGTAGCCTGCTGACTTCAGGTAATAATGACATTTGTATAATGATGTGTCACACATCATGTGTGTTGCATGTTTTGTACAAAATGTATAAATGGTTATAATTGTGTACAATACTATAAGTAGAATAATAATATTATATGAATATAATAATAACARTGTTGTAAGTTGTAATATAATAATAATGACAGGTATGTCGTATGTATAATAGCGTATGTTGCCTGTTGGCACAATCTGTATAAATGTATGGCTCCTATGAATATAATAACACTATGAATATGATGCTATGTATTKACGTCCCGTTAAGTCTACTAAATACGCATTTGCACGTAGGTGTACGTGAGTGTCCTTGGGGCATATGATTTCACCACCGATTACATTGTGTCAAATCTCGAAAGCCGGTACGAGTAGAATATTAAAATAAGAGAAGCTCATTGTGCGAAATTGTCGTGTTRGCAGGAAATCATTTAGATACCTAATTAGGGCATCGGGTTTATTGAGATTGCGTGTGTCACAAATAGTAGGATGTGACCAAACGGCCGCACGAACGTGGGATGCTACGGTATCCTATAGTGATACGCACGTCCGCATTTGCACGATTAGACCATGGACACATACTTATCTTATCGATAGGATCGGAAACGCAGAGAGTAATACTATATAGGAGAGCCCCGAATAGACAAAAATCAGACGTGAGCCACCAGACTCAGTGCAAGCACCTTCACGCCAGACACCATTCTAAATTAATCGTTTGGACTTAGAATATTTTGAATTAAATCATTTTGTGCAGTAAAAGTGTTTTATTTACATATCAAACAAATAAATATATAATAACTAATCACAAATCACAAATCAAGTTTTTATACTTATTTCACTCAATCCATCTACCTCAACACCAGTCGTTCGTCCTCCTGTATGCTGGGACGCTACAATGATAACAATATGAGGCTCGTCAGCCTATTACTTGTGATCTGGTGTTCGTTAKCGGCTTCAAACCAGAACGCTACCGTCTCGGGATGCACTAATTTTCACAATAAAAAATACAATATAATACTAAAATATTGTGACAATCCCGAGAACGTGCGACTAACGAGCCACCAGATCAGACGCTTAACTCACTGAACATGCAATTCACCACAACGAACAAATCACGTGCTTCTATAAGTATGTCTCTGTACACCCTGAATAGGGAAAATAATATTAGAGTTGCACAATGTAGTGACTACGAACGATACTTACAGAAACAAATCACAGCACAGGAAACATGAATGATAAACAACGATAAATTAGAAACGAATTGAATTGAATTTAAACGAATGGAAAAATGTGTAATACGCTACGACTACACGGTTTWTTTTACCTTGAACCTAATGTCTGCTGTATGCCCACTCCCACTCTGGGGCATGGCAGAAACCTACGGGTGCCCCAATAGAAATTTTGTCAAATAGGCGTCCAAACTAGGCCTACGGGCCTACTCCCGGACATAGCGYCATACGAAAAAAAAATCATAATTTAAACGCCTTATAATAATAATAACAATTATTTGATTTAATTAACATAATATGTTGTTTCTATTTTATAATATTATATGATATATTCAACTATAGTACCTACTATAATATTTTATGTGCGAATACGTACCTACTATCTACCAATATCATCATTTACCAAAATCCTAACGTAAATATCAACATCCACTAGTAAATCTCTGTATTATTTTAATTGTTCAACATTCGCCAATTTATTAGGTGTATTATTATATTATATTATATATAGTAGAGTATGTTTTTTAAATAACAAAATGCATTAATATTTTTTTCCCTAGATCTATTTTCACAGCTATAACAGTGACAGTGAAATATTGGACTTTTTCTATAATTTTCCTTACAATTTTCAATGTTTGAATGTTCCTGTTAGTAGAATACATACCTTCAAAACAGCAGTGAAACACTACCCCTTTGGACTTGATTATTTCCTTTTAATATTCAAATATTAAAACAAATGATAATGTATAGCAAATACCTATTAATAGCAAATATTATCAATTTTTTAAAATATAACAACATTAAAACGTAAGAAGGTATGCTGGACAGTATCTAACAAATTGACAAGACCTAATATTTCTTTCACAATTTTTTTCTTAGAATTTCTTAGAATTTCTTACCTTGAAGTTTTATTTAAAATGCTACTTTTTTAAAAAGTTTGGGCATGCTATTTATTTGCCTTACATATTAAATATTATATCTACTTAATGCGTTCAAATTTATCAAATTAGGTAACTGACTTTTTTGAAATCGGTTGTTGTGAGGTTTTCAATSACTGCAAACAAATTATTCACGCTTTTGTAAAGTAACCAATCATAGAACACATCATACGATATACTGTCGTCTAGTGGCAATACCATACCAAACCGCGGTAGCACGTAGTACAGACGATGTGAACGGTTTTTTAGTATTTCAGACTTGGCAACTAATAGTTTGCCCAACGATCTTATATGACGAAGGCAGTTTAGGTTTATTTGTTGTTTAGAGTGCACGTGAACAAGGTCCATTTCCGAGAAGTGTTCGAGTACTGTTAGATTCAGCAATTCGAATTCTCGCGTGTGTTCCATTAAGTATATATCATGTATTTGATAGGTACTTTTTKTATGATTGCTTATAATATAGTTTATTGAAAAAATACCTAATATAACAGTGCCAATTAAACAAAACTATAACTAATACGTATCCACGAAAACAGTATATTTACATAAATTATCACAATGATTTGTTGTATTAAAATTGGGTTTTTGAAAACATACGTGTTAGTATAGATTATACTTTAAATGGTCACTAATCACTAAAAAAAAAAATCAATAATTACAATTTTTATTCGAATATCTTTTATTATGTTAATTCGCCGATATATACGAATTATGGCGGTTGGCTATATCGACTCACGGTGTTAGGACGTCGGGTAAYCCAAATGATTACAAAACTATATAGTAAGGTAAACTTAATGTGTGTGCACACCAAGTATATATAATAAATAATATACTATTTACACCGTTGCGTGATTATATAATAGGTAACGGGGCCCCATAAGACTTTAAAAAAAATATAATAACAATAATAATAATAATGTGAAGTCTCAGACCCATTATGGTCGAGTAGAAAAATATAAATATAATAAATGAATATAAACAAAGAATTACGACCTGGCGATGTCAATCGCAATAAACACACGCAATTCCACTCCAGCGGTCAAGACTCAAACTGAACTCCAGGGATGGCAGCATATTATCCTCTTCCCATACAGTGCTAATCGCAGGACTGGGGGCTCCAGGAACGTTGATCACTGACCAATACTGGGACACGACCTCGGAGTACCATGGCTCCCACCAACAGAAACGCAGTACACAAAAAACGATATTATTATTAACGTACCCGCGAAAGACCAACGTGCAGTCTTCATCGATTATATGGTAATATAGTTAAGTATATATAAAATACACACTAGCCAAATAACGGGGCACACTAGCCGTTGCGTTATACAGGTGGGAGCTGAGGAACGGTCCGTCAAGCTCAACYGCGGAGAAAAAAAAACAAAACCAGGCGGCGGTGCGACGCGACTTTATTGTGGCGAGTTGTCTCCCGATGTAGGAGAGGTAGGGTGCTTGGTGAACTTCGACGCCGACGGCACGATAGCACCGGCCGATAAGATCGACGCGGCGCGAATTTGTTCCGTTTGCACATTAGCTATAAGTAATTGATAAATATTTTTAAATCATTAATGATAACGTATCGATCTAATTTTCTATACTAGCAAGTCGCAATATTGTCTAATACCACAGACTAATACATATTCTATATACCATGACGAAATAGATAGGCATGTCAGCAACAAGACGACTATTCGTCCCGTTAATGCATCCCACCAACCCCAGCCATAGTCGGTTTGCCTCATTTCACTGACCTTTAAATTACCTGGSTAACATATAGAGGTGAACTAGCCAATTTATGGGGTGTGGAGTGGTCGGTGAMCACGATGTGTATCAAAAAGTTGCTAACACACTAACTCATACATAAATCTTTCACTAATAGATATATAATAACCTAACCGCCTCTTCACGGTTCCATTGTGTTATAAAAGGTGGCACTATTTGGTAACCAAGTTACTCTGATACGGTACAATCACGATTAAAATCGTGATATATTATATTATAATCGTAGRTGAAATGAAAATATATATATATTATATATATATTAAACGGTGTACATCACTGCGCCTTGTTGGCATGTGACTATTAATAATATAAATATATTATAATGACTATCAATATATTTGGTATCGGATGGAATGGTCTATGAGTAAATTGTCCAAGCCTACATACCTAATACTTACATGGTTGTTTCATATTTTGACTTTACGTGGATGTTTTAAGAACGTTGCAGGGACTTTTAAACATCGTGACGATGGAGGTAGATCAAAAAACGCATATAACAGGAGTGTATACTATGATAATGAACAAATTGGCTACTACAATTATTAACGCCACCAACATCAAGGAATAGTAACTACTACAACATGCGACCCTAGTACATACCCAGTCAATATAATCCCGATTCTCAATTATCGAAATATTGCTGAACAGAGTTTTTTGATTTCTTTGTTTTTCACCATGAAATTATTATTTTTACTCGTCTTTTTGCATTAGTATTTGTTTATAGTTATCCCTAATAGTAGTATGTATTTGGGGAGTCTGAGTCCATTTTTACAGGTAGATGAAAAAAATTGAAGCGGGAATATCCCACTTACAGTGCAACCAATCTCCCTATAATTTTTTCAAGAAAATTTAAATGATTAATCAGTTAAATGTTTAATTTATCTGACACTATTTTATTATTTAAGACATAATTATTTTACATAATATTTAGACAGTTGTTCACGAACTGTTATACAATCAAGTTGTGTTTTATTTTTTTTCCGGTAAATTAACTTATTGATTTGTTTTTTCCCTTCAAATATTTATTTTAACTTTTACTAAAAAATCATGAACTTACTGAAGTTCTCAAACGATCTTTCATCATTAGTTTATTTAGTACGAAATAATTCGTATCCAGTATATTCAGATTATACCACATTTTTATCAAGATTAAAATCATATAATTCATATCCACCCACTGTGTTTCAAAATAAATATTCGTTAAGTGAATCTGGTTTTAGATATACAACTATACAAGTGTAGGAGATGTAGTTGAATGTTTTTTTTCTGTGGACTCATCTTACAAAAATGGAAATAAGATGACATACCATGGGTTGAACATGCAAAATAGAATCCTAAATGTATATTTGTTTTACTTTGTAAGGGAAATGAATTTATAGAAAATGTAAAAAATGAACATGTAAAATCCACAAATATTTGTAATTTTATCAGACTAAATCATAATATTTGTCACCACTTTATTGTGTATACATGATTAAGTTAATTATATTTTATTCATTTCCAAATAAATATTGATATAATCAACTTAAAAGTGTTAATTTTTGATTTTATACCTCGTGAACTTAATGTTAAGTAAAATAACGCGTATAGTTTTAATTAAATATACTAGGTTCAAAATATAAGTTATAGGTTCAATGAATCAGGTAATTACAATCCATGCGGTGATGTACAAAAAAAWAAWAAATAAAAAGGTAGGTGCCTCAGAAAATTCCCCTTCTACACGTTATTTGATTTGATTTTACCTTCACTTTAGTTTTTTTTTTTTATCAATTTCTATTAAATCAGCTTAGTATAATATAACAATACATGTAATAGTAATACACTTAGTTATAAAATATGTATTGTAACGATCGTACCAACATTAATAACATTCGTAATTCGCGTTCATTAAAGTAACCTTACATTACATCTATTTATTAACGTTTTTTTAAAAACAATCATCAGAAATCGTCTATATCAAAAAAAATTTTAAAAAAAATACGTCAGTACGTCACAATACAGTATTATGATTCCATAGGGGGGGGGGGCTGCAGCTCCCTTGATGTTGATTAAATATAATATATTGTATTTAATATTTAAATCATAGTTTTTCTAATTACCTTTCAGACGACGGAATATCTTTAATTGTTTTAATTTTATAGTGTTGAATAACCCAGTAGTGCATGTGACCTGCAGCATTATGCGTGAAAGTCAAATTAACGACCCGCCAGTGGATATTTTTCCAAAAATCCATTTAACTTAGGTACCTATAAGTTTAAAATTGTTTATTAGTTTATTACGTTTTAACAGTGCACTCTGTACATTAATTGTTATGCGAGGCAATTGACAAAAAATAGCCAAGATATAATATCAAGTTGCAGAATATAGTTCACACGGTCGAAGCGTCCATAATCGATTTCGCGTACCTAATCATTCCTGGAGCTTAAATTATTAACTATTATCGCATACATTAATAACGAATATTAATCAAAACGTTAATTACCTACGTAGTGTATTTCCGGGTATGGATGCAGAGTCGTAATCAGAGTTTTTGTTTGGGGATGAGGGCAAACACCTAACCCCCAACCCCCTCCAAAAAACTTAGAAAAGTATTTTCATCAATATTCATTAGATAAAAACCCAATTCTAAAAAAGATTATTGTTTTTAAAAAAATGGTTATTAATGAGTTAAAAAGTTAAAGTTAAGTTACTTTTAACCGAGTTACATTATGAATTACTTTTTTTTAGAATTAACTTGTAAGTTAAAATGTTAATATTTTTTTTTCAAATTTATGATGTAATTTATGAGGTAGTTAATTTTATTGTCATGATGACTTATTTACAAATTGTTGATTCCTCRTTAATGGTGCTTCTTATTTTATTGTAATTCATTAAATATTGACAAATTTCGTCAAAATCACGAAAATTTGCATATTATTTCGTGGTTAAAATTTATAAAATGTTCATTTTTATTGCTAAGGATTTAAAATTTAAAACAAGGTTCCTCATTAGTAAGGTTGTATTATGATCAAAAATCTAAAAATATATTTTTACACAAACATTTTTTTATTGACATATATAACCAGTGCAATTACATTTTTAAAATATTTAAATTCATYTAAACTCCATTGCCTATTTTTATTTCATACAATGAACTTACTTTCACACTGATCTACGTTAAGATGGTCTTATTTTAAAAATGAATAGCAATTTTATAGTTTGGTGTGATACTAATCAAATATAAAGGTAATATAAAAAATGTTATTCATTAACAAAATTTGAATCAATCTTCCATAATTCTTGTAATAAATTAAGTTACTCTAAAATCAATATATCAACTATAAATTTTACCTGCAATATTTTAACCTGTTTTTTATTAAATAGGATATACGCCATAGTCTGGGGAAATTGGATCTGCTGCTTACAGAAGTACCTCAGAAATCTATGAGCGCAAAGAGTGTACCCCTTCAATTGCAAAGTAACGCTAGAAGAAGCATAACGGATGGCGAACAAAATTTCTTTAAAAGAACTCACAGGGCTGTATACATTGTATTGTGGAATACAATTTTTCCAACCTTGTATTATACAATTATTTTTAATATTCATCAGAATTATAATAATTATATTATATTTTCCTAGAGTCYACC